TTTTTTAGTAGGAGTCTTACTCTGTCACCCTGGCTGGAGTGTAGTGGCATGCTCACAGCTGCCACTGTGGCCTTGACCTGCTGGGCTCAGGTGATTCTTTCACCTCAGCCTTCGAAGTAGCTGGAACCACAGGCACATGCCACCAACGCCTCAGTTAATTTTTTGATTTATTGTAGAGACAAGATCTTGCCAAGTTGCCCAGGCTGGTCTCGAACCCCTGGATTCAGGCAGTCCTCTCACCCTCACCCCCCCAAAGTGCTGGTATTACAGGTGTGAGCCACCACACCTGGCCTATGCATTCTTTTTAGTGACAAAAACACCACCTATTTCTATGACACTGGGCCACACGAATTGAAATGTAAACATCCCCTCTAAACTTCTGACTTGGTTTCTTGTATTGTCTGTAAGGATAGAGAAGAGGCACACACAAAGGAGCTGCGTTCTAGGGACAAATTGTAGCTCAGCCAAAAATGTTACTGGGGACTTGTCTGGGCATAGATTTTACTCTGCACTCTTGATTTTCATGGGATCTTTGGGGTAATAAGACACTCTAGCTATGTGACAGCCCAGAATGAGGATTTCTTGGCGTACCCCCCATCTAAAACAATCATTTTCTTTATCATTTAAGCAGATTTTTTAAAAAAAGCAACATATTAAAACATGTGTCAAAGTAATTTGTGCTCAATACATAAAACCTGGATAATATAAAGAAGCATAAAGAGAGATGTTCCTGCTACCCAGAAAGAACATTTGCATGCTTTATTGTGTTTAACCAATATTAGTCAATAGTAGTTTCATTTATGTTCTTCCCTGATCCAGCCCACAGAACCTGATTGCCCAGTCTCAGTCTGGCACTGGTAAAACAGCTGCCTTTGTCCTGGCCATGCTTAGCAGGGTGGAACCAGCAGACAGATACCCCCAGGTGAGAGCTTGGGAAACCTGGGGGCCCTGGTCTGCCTGCCCTGGGAAGGTCAACGTCATCTGGTGGGGTATGACAAGAGGCCTGAAATTTCTGATGCCTTAGGCTGTGACTCAGGCAGAGCAGGTTATTGCATGGGTCCCAGCCTAAGTAGAATTCGTTTGGAAGCGGCAGCCTCAAATAGTGGTTTGCAAAAGCTTCAGCGAGGCCAAAACTCTCTGTTGAAGGCTTCTGTGTACAGCCAAAAGGTGGGCCTAAGTAGGAGGCTTGATTCCCTGCACTATTCAACATCAGCATACTTACTGCTTTAGAGCCTGTTGTCTGTTACTAAACAGCTTTCCTAAACTCTTCCTGTGTGATTTCTCTGTCAGTGTCTGTGCCTCTCCCCAACATATGAGCTGGCGCTTCAAACAGGAAAAGTGATTGAGCAGATGGGCAAATTTCATCCAGATCTCAAGCTTGCTTATGCTGTTCGAGGCAATAAATGTGAGTATAAGAGGTGAGACATACACTGAGCAGGGTAGGGTGGTTGAGTGTTTGGATTTTGAAGATGTGAACTTTTTAATTCAGTCCAACCTTGGAACCTAATTGCATTGCCTTTAGCAAATCTGTTTAAATATCTGCTAATTTGTTAATAGTCTTCTTCAATCTTAAAATAAGATTTTTAGGTTGTTTAAAAAAAATCCCAGTAAGACAGGCTCACACCTGTAATCCTAATGCTTTAGGAGGCCGAGGCAGGAGGATTGCTTAAAGCCAGGAATTTGAGACCACCCTGGGCAGCATTGCATGACCTTGTCTCCAAAAAAAAAAGTTTTAAATTAGCCAGGTGGCGTGCACCTATAGTCCTAGTTACTTTGGAGGCTGAGGCAGGAGGAGCCCTTGGAGTCCAGGAGTTCAAAGCAGCAACCTGGGCAACAGAATGAAGTTCTGTCTCTAAAAATAAAAAAAAATCATTTTTTTCAGCCGGGCTTGGTGGTTCAGCCTGTAATCCCGTGCCTTTGGCAGGCTGAGGTGAGTGGATTGCCTGAGCCCACGGGTTCGAGACCTGCCCAGGAAACTTGGTGAGACCTCATCTCTACAATAAATAAAAAAAAAAAAA